TAACTTCTAAAACTCAATCCAACCATGAAGGGAGTTGCCGAGGAGTTACAAAGCTCTGTTGATCTAAGGAAAGATTCATACATTTATAATAGGGTGTTATTTGGAACTATAGCTGCTGAAAGATTTAATCGTTTGAAAGCGCTAATTAGAAAAGGGCGAATATGCCTAAGAAGTGTCATCTGTGGTATTGTGATGTTATGTACAAAGCCAAACATTCAAAATTTTGATGGAAATATAAGATTCTCGATAGGTGTTGATATGAAACCAATAGTGGACGATTCCTCTCAATTCGGGATATTAAAAAAGAACATTATCGTTGATTGTCCTTTGAAACTCATAGATGACAAACATTACAAAGACACTGACTCTGAAAGTATAAAGAATGGTGACATATTAGAGATTCAATTTCGTAAGGTTACAGATTTTGTTACTGAGGAATTGAGTAATAAGCTTCAATCCATGGCGAAGCATTTTAAAAGAAATAACTGCCCATTCAATTTTTCCTCAATTAATTCTCAAATTTCTGATTCTAAAGTAATTCAAATCAATGATTTGACTGACATACCTTTTACGACAACAGAACAAAACCCAAATGGTTACTCCTTCCATGATCTAAAAGTAACAGAAGGGCTATCCCCAAACGAAAGCATGTCTTTATCGTATATTACAAATAGCAACTCTGCAATGAGTATTTCAATTCACTATACAGAAACCAAATATATGGACTCATTTGTTGAATGCTTCAGGACATTTATAGAAAACTGATATAGTTCAATAGCAATATTTAATTTCTACTACACTGGTCTTATTGCCATGATGTAATTTGAATGTTCAAGCTCTAAATATTTTAGGCATGGATTAATGTTTTTTAATAAATCTAGTCATTTGCCGGCAAAACATCAAGTTTATAGGGAGAAAATTATAAAACTTGGTAGATATATCTATGTATGTATATAAATATATGATTGATGACATTTGGCAATACTCAAAAGAATCTTCCTTTTGGGGAAATTTTTGCTAAAATTGAGATATTGTCAGGTAAATATATTTAGACGCTTTCTTTAACCAATTTGGTTACAAGGGCATTCAATTCCTTGGCCTCTTCTTGAGAAGAAGCTTCTGCATACACTCTTACAGCATCTTCAGTACCACTGGCTCTTACAAAAGATCTACCATTACTAAATTCTGAAATTGCTTTATCAATTTTAGATTGTAGTCCTTCTGGAGATAAAAGCTTCCTTTCTTGGTCAGTTGTGATAAAAACTGATCTATCTGGAACAATGACCTTAGTTAATAGATTTGGTAAGTCTGTATATTCATTATCCCATTGCTGGGACGAAAGTTTCATTATTGATAATACAGATAAAACACCTAACATATCAGAAATAGCATCACCAACAGTTTGATTGATTAAATGAGATAATGCGACCAATGTGTTTACCGCAATTGATTCTGAATTAGCTTTCAATTCTTTCTCACATACTTGGTAGAAATGGTCTGAAAATATTATTGTACCATGACCGTTAGCTTCAAAATAAACTCCAATATCATAATTTGTTACAGCTTCATGGTGCAAATGTTTAACACCTGTTTTTGCGCAACTAACAGGAACATTTAATGTACCTTGTAAATAATTCGTCGAACTTCCATTAGCATATGCAGTTTGCACAACACCCAAGGATATTTTTGAATTTAGATTAGCATCGTTTAATAATTTGGCAATTAATTTGGCAAATAATGTAGATATTTTATCCCCATCTAACAAATGGAATTGTTTGTCTTGATCTTGAAAATAAAAAACGATTCTATCGGCGTCACCATCGTAAGAACAATATAAATCATTTTCAGTAGAATTTCCTGAGACACCATTTGGTAGCTTTTGATTAGTTTTCACAAAATCAGCACCACAATTCTTATTTAATAAATCAGGCTTTTCCCATTCATTATTTACCAATGTAACTTTACTAGCAAATGGCCATGATTTCAACAATTCTTGAATTTTAGGGCCACCGATACCATTCGCAGTATCAATGGTTAAACTTGAACAATACAAATCGGTAATATTATGCAAAGCTGTTATTTTATTCCAAGATTCAATAAAGTAGTTATAATAACTTGACTCTTGTACAGCATAAGATTTCTTAACATTTATCTCATTAGTTAAGAAATGTAATTGAGGGGTGGTCAACAATCCATAATTAATTATTTTTGCATTCATATAATTCTCTGCGCTTGCTAATAAACATTCTAATAAATAAGAACCAGATTCTCTTGAATCACGGCCAACAACAACAACTGGTTGAACTTTTGATCCTGATTCAGGACTGAATTTTTTAACCTTTTCTTCGACGTATGCCTTCAAATCGTCAAAAGTAGAATTTGCTGCAATATTTGCCAATTCAGTAGCCATTGGTTCCCAAGATTGATCTAGCATCGCACCATTAGGTTCGACAATTTTGACACCATTATCTTCTGGAGGATTATGAGACGCAGTGATCATAACACCAACTGCTTTACCACCTAATGAGATAGACCTCAGACAAGCAACAATACCAGTTGTAAACATGACAGTATTCAGAATTGAAGCATTGTCACGAAATCCTGCAGTTCCATAAACATATTTATGATCCTTAGTGGTACAATATTTCTCAAATAACTTCGAATTCATCCTTTAAACACAAATAAAAACTTGACAATTGTATTTGAACACAACTTAACTCTCTCTTCCAACAGTCAATGAATCAATCACTGACCAAATCGTCGATCTTTAAACCTATTTCTCCAAATCTTTTATCCAAATCTTCAATTACAAACATCGATATTTGTTTTTTAAAGCTTTCTTAACTCGATTTAAACATTAAAGATACCATCAGATATCAAGATTTTAACCCACCAGACAGACTTATGGGATTTAAATTTCACTCTTTATAGATTAGAAGACTACATTGTTTTATGATTGATCAAGGGGCAGGTTGGTGAATGTTGTTATTCTTGTAACAGATCAAAGGTAATTGTATAATGGCACCTCCAACTCCTATTCAAAGTCGAGAAGAGGTTTTAAGAGGTAAAAAATGCTTAACAATGGTGGATAACAAGAAGGGAAAATGTACATTGACATCGATAACACAGTTTCAATGTCGGTTTGAGAATTCTTATGAAGGAGAGTATATCTGTTTGCCTTTTAAAAGACTGTTTGAAGAATGTTCAGGGATTAGAATTGAAGTGACTGATCGTTTTACTAATAATGATAAATGAACGAATAAAAACGTCATATATTCATAAATATGGTTGATAGAAAGCAGTTACAACTGCTTGCAAGGCTTTCTAATAGTTCCCATCGTTTTCACTTCAACAAAGGTTCTCAGTTTTGGGACTTTTCTTACACTATTGCAATATTATGTTCCTTTTATATTTATATAATACGCATACACATATATATATATATTCTTTAATTATACACTTCAACTGTATATGATGTCTGGATCTGACGAAATATCATATATTTATCTTTCCACCAACATCGCTATCATTGGACCTATTAGTTGTCCTGTTGGTTGCTATCGTTGCATTAATATTTCAATGCATTGTCTTTAATTGCCCTCGTACCTTTTTTGAAAAGCTTTTGACTGTATAAGACGAACCCAACCTTTGACGATTTAAGTTTAATTGGTCATTTAAAGTTTGAACATTGACATAGATATCGATTGGATTGGGACTTGATATACTCGTTGATTCCACTCGAGACTTTGACTTTATTAAGATGAGTTTTCCTAACGGATTTAGATTAGAAACTGATGGGTTTGGTGAGATTAAGGTACCAGCTGATAAATATTGGGGTGCTCAAACTCAACGTTCGTATGAGAACTTCAAGATTGGTGGTCCAAGGGAACGTATGCCAGAGCCAGTTGTTAAGGCCTTTGGTGTTTTGAAGAAGAGTGCTGCAATTGTCAATGAAGAGTTTGGTATTCTAGATGCAGGAATCTCTAAATTAATTCAACAAGCTGCAGATGAAGTTATTGAAGGGAAATTGAATGAACACTTCCCATTAGTTGTTTTCCAAACTGGATCAGGTACTCAATCCAATATGAATGCTAATGAGGTTATCTCCAACCGTGCTATTGAGTTAAAAGGTGGTATTATGGGTTCTAAAGAGATACATCCAAATAATCACTGTAATATGGCTCAATCCTCAAATGACACTTTTCCAACAGTGATGCATATTGCTGCAGTGACTGAGATTACTCATCATTTGATACCTAAGATGACTGAATTGAAAGATGCATTGGCAAACAAGTCCAAAGAATTCGAACATATTGTTAAGATTGGTAGAACACATCTACAAGATGCCACACCTTTGACATTAGGTCAAGAATTTAGCGGATACGTTCAACAATTGATCAATGGCATTGCACGTATTGAACATTCATTGATCAATTTAAAATTCTTGGCACAAGGTGGTACCGCTGTGGGTACTGGATTAAACACTAAAATTGGGTTTGCTGAACGTATTGCTGAACAAGTCTCTAAAGAGACAGGAATTGAATTTAAGACTGCTCCAAATAAATTTGAAGCACTTGCCGCACATGATGCAATTGTTGAATCTAGTGGAGCATTGAACACAGTAGCATGTTCATTATTCAAGATTGCTCAAGATATCAGATATTTAGGATCAGGTCCTCGTTGTGGATACGGTGAACTGTCATTACCTGAAAACGAACCTGGATCTTCAATCATGCCTGGTAAAGTTAATCCGACTCAAAATGAAGCTATGACACAAGTATGTGTTCAAGTGATGGGTAACAATGCAGCCATTACATTTGCAGGAGCATCTGGGCAATTTGAATTGAACGTTTTCAAGCCAGTGATGATATCTAATTTATTGAGTTCGATTAGACTATTAGGAGATGCATGTCATTCATTTACTATCCATTGTGTCGAAGGGATTCAAGCCAATGAGGATAAGATCAATAAATTATTACATGAATCGTTGATGTTAGTAACAGCATTGAATCCTAAAATTGGGTATGATTCAGCAACAAAAGTGGCTAAGAATGCACATAAGAAAGGTATTACATTAAAAGAATCTGCTTTAGAATTAGGTGTATTGACTGAAGATGAGTTTGACGAATGGGTAGTGCCAGAGAAGATGTTAGGACCATCATAGTAATTGAATTTGAAAAGAATCGAGAGTTTTTGTTTGTTTATTTTCATTTTCATTTTCATTTTCAAATTATGTTTTAATATACATTCATTGCATTGTTATGTATTTGAGATTTCAAAATCTAAAGAATGCAAAAATATGTTTATATATAGAAACAAGAATATATCAGTTGTGTGTAATAAGAGAATATATTCAGTATATGTGTAGCAGCAATTGCCAAGCCTGGACACCAACTGGGTGGGGGTGGGGGGAGTACAGAGCAACGATAGAAACTTTAAAATTACAGTGTGATTGTACTTGTACTTGTAAGTGTAATTGTAATTGTAAATGTGTAAAGTAAAAATGTTGTAGGTTTAGAGAAGAAGTGTCAAGAGTAGAGTAGAGTTGAATTGTGGCTTGCAGTGAACATTAACAGGATATTACTAAATCCACATCACATAACGAGAACATTAAACAGTAAACAGTAAACAGTAAACAGTAAACAGTAAAACTAAAATGCCAAGCACATAACCAATGAAGGATTAGAATGTGGTCGAAGTGCCAAGAGAGAGGGAATAACAATAGTTTATATGAATTTAAGAGGCTTGGACTAGATGTTTCAGTTGCTGAGTGAAAATGCCATCACCATAGCATGGGTGTATATGTGTTAAGACACCCTGTTTGGAGTAATGTGCATGGATGCAACAAGAAGGAACAGACAGTTGATGAGATGAGATGAGATGAGATGAGATGAGATGGGCTTGGCTTGGCTTGGTTTCTACTTGCACTTGCACTTGCACTTGCACTTGCACTCGCACTTGCACTTGTACTTTTTCATTTGATGAGGAAATAGTGATCTCATCGATGTTGCGGTATAACAGGGACAATCCAGTCAGAATGGTGGTCCAAGTTCAAAGTGTGGTGCGAATGAGAGCAGAGAGAGCAACCAAAAATCACGAGATAGCAAAGGAGGTGGATTTCGATGTTTTGTCTCTTTATTCAATAAAGAGGGAAACGGGAAACAAGAAAGGTTTGGTTTGGGAAAAGGATAAGGACTTGATTGATATAAAACGATTGATATTTGTTATTTAAAGTTTAAAAGGATTTTTGATAATAGTTTAGAGTTTAGTGGTTTAGTATATGGGTTTGTGTTTAGGAGTTTGATTTTATTTTTTTTGGGTTTGATTAATATCGGTAGGACTTTGTATTCTGATATTGAGAAGGAATATGAAGCTAGATAAGACTTTAGTTTCAGTTGCTACATTGGCAACTTTGGGTAGTTCTTTGGTGATTCCAGAGTTTGCCCGTGATTTAGATGACAAGAAATTACTTGCAAAGGTTGGAAATCCTAAAGATGAAGGTGTCGTTCTAGGTTCCAGACGGGGTGGTGTTGAATGTGGGACTGTAGCTGTGAAATTGGATTTTGGGTCCAATAAAAAGGGGAAGATTGTGAAAAAAGTCCACCATGTTGAAAGTGGTGATGAAAGTGATGAAAGTGATGATGACGAGGATGACCACCACCACGGTAAGCATGGTAAACATGGTAAGCATGGCAAACACGGTAAACATGGTCACCACCATGATGACGACGATGAGGATGACCACCATCACGGTAAGCATGGCAAACATGGTAAACATGGTCACCACCATGATGACGACGATGAGGATGACCACCATCACGGTAAGCATGGCAAACATGGTAAACATGGCAAACATGGTCACCACCATGATGACGACTCTAAACCTTCTGATGGAAGAAAACACAACCCACCAAAACAACCTGTTTACAACATTAAAGAAGATGATGACATCGTTGACTCTGTCACTCAACAAATCTTCGAAAGTGCTGAAAAGAGTGGTGAAAAGGTCAAGTACGCTCCCCTACACTCAATGGAAAATACCAAATATGAAAATTTGGTAATCCCAAATAAATACATCATCGTATTCAAGAAAGATGTCTCCGTTAAGGATATGCAAATACATAAGGACTTGATTGCAAGAGCACAATTCCAATACGCCTCTGTATCAGACGAAACCTCTAGCTCTATTTTGGGCGGTATCGAAGAAGCTTTCAACGTCGCAAACTTATTCCATGGTTATATTGGTCACTTCAACGAACAGCTTGTTCAGTTCATTAGATTGAGTCCTATTGTCGACTTTGTCGAACAAGACTCTATTGTCCATGCAAACGAAGTTGACACTCAAAATAACGCCCCTTGGGGTTTAGCTCGTATCTCCCATAGAGATGGCCTAAACTTGGGAAGCTACAACAAGTACTTGTACGATGACGTTGCTGGTGAAGGTGTCACTGCCTATGTGATTGATACAGGTATCAACATTAAACACAAAGAATTCGGCGGTAGAGCCGTATGGGGTAAGACTATTCCAGAAAACGATCAAGATGTCGATGGTAACGGGCATGGTACTCACTGTGCAGGTACTATTGCATCCAAAAACTATGGTGTTGCTAAGAATGCTGAAGTGGTTGCTGTTAAGGTTTTGAGATCAGATGGTTCCGGTACCATGTCTGATGTATTGAAAGGTGTCGAATATGCTGCTTTCTCCCATCAAAAGGCACTACGTGAAAAGAAGAAGGGTTTCAAGGGTTCTACTGCAAACATGTCTCTAGGTGGTGGTAAGTCTCGTTCGTTGGATTTAGCTGTTGATGCCGCTGTCAAGTCTGGTATCCATTTCGCAGTTGCAGCAGGTAACGAAAATCAAGACGCATGCAATAGTTCACCAGCAGCATCTGAAAATGCTATTACTGTTGGTGCCTCAACATTGAGTGATGATAGAGCATACTTTTCAAATTGGGGTAAATGTGTAGACGTGTTCGCTCCAGGTTTGAACATCTTATCTACCTACATTGGTTCAGATGAAGCTACTGCTACATTGTCAGGTACTTCAATGGCTTCTCCTCATGTCGCCGGTTTGTTAAGTTACTTTTTATCCATGCAACCAGATGCTGATAGTGAATTTTTCAGCAGTGGATCCAACAGTATTTCACCAGCACAATTGAAGAAGAAACTAATTGCCTACAGTACCAAGAATTTGTTCCAAGATCTTCCAGAAAAGACTCCAAACTTATTGGTCTACAATGCAGGTCACAATATAAGTGATTTCTGGAAGCCAAAGTCTGAGAGTTCTGCTGAACCTAACGAAAGAGCTAAAGAATTCGAACTAGAAGATTTGGTAGACTCTGCTCAATGGATTGCAGACACCTGGTTGAATGGTATCCAACAAGTATTTGAAAGAATGGACCTGTTCTAATAGCCTAATGCTACTAGTCAACGCATTTTTGTCAATTTTTTTATCCCATTCCCCCCCCCCCCTCCAATTCCTTTTTAATATTTTTTTAGTCTTAATATTTTATTGTCTCTCTGATTTGAAGGAATGTTTAACCAAATAGGATCCAAACCCTGGCCCCGGCAATAATGGCATCTATATTTTTCTCTGTTTGGCAGATTCTTTTTTGCTTTCGAGTTTCTATTCAATCATACTCAGTTCTTATGAACCATTTAGACTAGAAACTGAATGGAAGCAAAATAAATAGATTTTAGTGGTAACATTCTATATAATATGTGGTTTTTTAAATACTTTATTGAATTTTGTTGTATGTTAATTTTGTTGTATGTTAATTTTATTTATATGTATTTGCTCCTTCTAATAGTTCCCAAAAGAGGAATGGATCTTGTAGTTAATGTAATATATGAAATATATTTAATTTCTTGAATATTGCTGTATTGTTGACTTAAATATGGTTGTTTATTCACTATGTTGATCTAACTAGACTTTTTGGTTCAAGTCTCCAACACGTGACTGAGCACCAAATGTTTGTCTCTGTTTTTGAAACACGAAACTTTTGGGATGAAAACATTTAAAAGATTGAGATCAAAGTAATAAAGAGTAAACATAAGAAGATACAAGAGGTCCTGGTAGTTCAAGAGAATTAAAGAGACCCTGAAACGATGTCTTTGGATCCTGATAAGGGTAATGGAGACGAGTTGAATATTATAGTTGCCGTTAGATGTCGAGGTCGAAATGAGCGTGAGATTAAGGCTAAGAGTTCAGTAGTGGTTTCTGTACCAGATGTTGCTGGATCTAGTGAAATAGCTATTAATACTACAGAGGATGTTGGAATTGCTGGTCAGATGAATTCCAAAACATATACGGTTGATAAAGTGTTTGGTCCTAGTGCTAATCAGAGATTAATTTTTGAAGAAGTTGCAGAACCTTTATTTAATGATTTTATTAGAGGTTATAATTGTACCGTATTAGTATATGGTATGACCTCCACAGGTAAAACATACACAATGACGGGTGATGAAAGGCTTTATAATGGTGAATTGAGTGATTCTGCTGGGATCATTCCAAGAGTGCTTTTTAAACTTTTTGATGCAATGGAATTTCAAAATGATGACTATATTATAAAGTGTTCATTTATAGAATTGTATAATGAAGAACTAAAAGATTTACTAGATGAATGTCAAGCTATTAATTCAACAGCAAAGAAATTGAGGATTTTTGATTCTAACGCTTCGCAAATTCGGAAAGTGAGTGAATATAATAAAACTAATACTAGTACCAATACTGGTACTAATAATAATAACAACAATAATAATAATAATAACAATAATAATACTAATGGAAGGTCAACTTCACCATCAAATTCTTCAAAAAGTAGACCACAACCAATATTAGGAAATAATAGGATACGAAGCAGATTGTCATCCTCAAATAATGCATTTTTGAAGCCATCGTCTTCAAATTTAAATACAAGTAACGATACTATTGCATCCTCATCTTCATCTTCGTCTTCATCGACTTCATCAGCATATACTTCATCTACTGTTTCACCAGATAAGCAAACAGGGATATATATTCAAAACCTGAAAGAGTTTCATATTACAAGTGCCAAGGAGGGTATAGAGTTATTACAAAGAGGGTTGCAATATAGACAGGTTGCATCTACCAAAATGAATGATTTCTCAAGTAGATCCCATACTATTTTTACAATAAATTTATACAAAGAGCATGACGGCAAGATCTTTAGAATATCAAAAATGAATTTAGTAGACCTTGCAGGTTCTGAAAATATCAGTAGGTCTGGTGCTCAGAATCAGCGTGCAAAAGAAGCTGGTTCAATAAACCAGAGTTTATTGACACTAGGTAGAGTTATCAATTCATTAGCTGATAAAAACATTCATATCCCATTTCGTGAATCTAAACTCACAAGATTGTTACAAGATTCTTTAGGTGGAAATACCAAAACCGCTTTGATTGCTACTATTTCACCGGCAAAATTGAATTCAGAAGAAACTTGTAGTACTCTGGAGTATGCAGCAAAAGCTAAAAGTATCAAAAATAAACCACAACTGGGTTCGATTATAACTAAAGATATTCTGGTGAAGAATATAGCGAGTGAATTGGCAAAAGTAAAGGCAGATTTGTTATCAACCAAATCTAGGGATGGTGTATATATGAGCCAAATTCACTACAAAGAACTTACAAATGATTTGGAAAGCTACAAAACTGAAGTTCAAGAATGTAAACGTGTAATAGATGGACTAACGACTCAAAATGGCTTGCTATTGAAAGATAAAAAGGCATCCAACGAAGTGCATAATTTGCAAAAAATTAAACTACAAAGCATGAAAGATTCTATAAGTCATCTTCATGATAGTATAGAAAAACAGCATCGAAAAGAACAAACATTGGTGGATTTAATCTTAAAACTGAAGTCAAAATCAATTGAAATGCAGGCAACAATCAAATATCATTCAGAAAGAGAACAAGTTACTCAAGCAAAGATGAAACAAATATTCAATGAAGAACTGTTGAGGTTGAAGTCTTTATTGATTGAAAATCTTGAAAGGATCAACAAGAAAATTGTAATTAACAATACAGATCTTGGGATGAACATAGAAAAAATAAAGGATGAAGTTAAGAGCATTATAGACACGACACAAGCAGAAGCAAATCACGTGTATAAGGATTGTATGGAGCAACTAATGAAAGAATCTCCAATACTTTTAGGTTCCTTAAATGATGATATAATAAAAATGCAGAAGATCAGTGATTTGTATAATGAACAGCTTTCAATCAGTATCTCTGAACTAAATATTGAACATAATGACCTAAAGCAATATCTAAATGGCTCATTTTTTAAAAGTGATCATGAAGAAATTTTGAATGAACATATAGAAAAAACATATGATAATATAAGAAGGGCTTCAACTGGCATCGTGGAACAACTAAAAACTGGGCTAGAGCTTTACTTGGAAGAAAGTAGGAATATCATAATTGATAGCTTAAAAAATACAACTTCTGATATTGTGAAAAGTGAGATGGAATTATTCGCACCAAAGAAAAAGAAATGGGAAGATTCATTTGAGATGATTAATAAATGTGATTCACTAAATAATAAATACTTCGGTGACATAAGTGCTTTATTATCCAATATGAAGACTTCAGTTACCTCAACTTCAGATCTAGTAGATGACCATGTCTCACAAATGCGAAAATATACGGATAATACAAGTAGATCAACAAAGTTAACAGAAAATAGTAAAAGGATAGGTCAACAATTTACAGAAATGATGGAGAAAAATTCAAAACTTGAAAGCCATCTAAATGAGTCTATTACTATGAATGAAAGTTCTATTAATGCCTTCGATAAATTGAGTGAGTCTATTCACTCAGCTTTTGAAAAGTATAACACAGCAAATACAATATCGAGGTTGGATGAAAGTACCAACTTAATGAAACAGAATAAGGATGGAGATATTTCTTTGGATCGTGTTGAGATGCTCCCACTTAGTCCAATTTTTTTCTCAGAAAATAAAAATAATCATGTCTTAAGTCCATCAAAGGTTGTTGTTAATTCATCTGCTAAAAAGATTCAAGCATCTAAATATCAAAAACGTCTAAATTCAACCGAAGATATGGACCCAATTGCTACAAAAGTTCAAAAAATTAAATAATTATTTTCTATAAATTTTACCAGAAAATGATGATGAGCTACATCATACTGATTCAGTACCTAAATGATTAATTGTAATATTAATAATTGATAGTTTATATTTTTACATAGAGATAAATTTCGTAAAACAGACAATTGTAACATTAAGATATTTCATTAAATTATACTAACGTTATACAGCAGGATAATCTTCTTCGGGAACTTGAACACATTCTGAAATACAGGCATCGATCCAATTTGCGTCCACAATTCTGGGCAACACAGGGACTTGCATCGAATTAGGATCTAAGCAAACCAAGGCCCTCCTAATTTTCTTCATAACCTCTTTCCTATTTTCAGTGTGTGTGTTTGTAAATACTATTACATTACAGTCAGATATCTTATTGACAAGTTTCCCCCCATAAAGTTCAACTTTTGATTTAAGCTCATATATGGGAGTTGAAGGTAAGGTTTCTGGAATAAAAAATCGCCTATTACAGAAAAGTAAAATTGGAATTTTCAAATGGTTTTCACCTTCAGTAATGCGCTTGTCTGCACTTTCACTTTTCAATACCTGCCTATTAATTAAAATTTCAAAATCTTTTTCTGTTAAGGAGGTTTCATAGCTATCGCCATATCTATCTACCCTAGTTTTCGTAACTTCCATTAAGGACGATGATACATTAAAACAATGTGATGGTAGAAGCCGTACCAATTTTCTGTTGGAGATACAATCTAAAATCCATTGAGGGTGAATAATATCATATCCTCTCTCTATTAATGACGTAGTTTCTCTAGTATACTTCATTGATATTATCCTCAGTCTATTAAGAATGTCAATTCTGGATATTGGATTGTGCACTAATTTTCCATTATGCTCTAATACTAAATTGCATAAGTCACTTTTTGATAGTCTAGAACCGTCAGTTTCATCAATATAGTCAGATATTACATAAAAATGAAGTCCCCTAAAAATAACATTTGATTCATCTGGCGCATCTTTCGTATTCTCAAAAATCTCAGTAAGGGAATTAAACATACGTTTTTTTGGACGTTTTTTCCTTCCAATTAGATTCTTATTATCAGGATAATTTACAAGCGCATTTTTAAGATTTCTTGATTCCATAAACTCGTTATAAGTGAAACAAGAAACCCAGTCCTTATCGTATCTAATCTGTCGGCAGTACCCTCCAAATAAGGTGCTACCAGTACCGTATTTTATTCTTGCCGATTCATTTGTCTCTAATGAACGCGCCTTGATCTCAAGAACTACCGAATGCTCCGGATATATCCATTCTATCGGATGCTTGGTTCCAAACTCAAAGAGGTCTTGTGGAGGTAGTTCATCATCAAACTTTATCCAATGACCAAATGTATATCTGTCGATATCTCTAAATTCTTTTTGAGATATGCCATTGGCAATATTGCAGAATGAAATAATCTTTCTTTTATCAGGTTTCAAAAAAGATTCTGCGGTATCAGTTGGATTAGAATCTAAGCTGGTGATCTCTTCTGGCTCATTATCGCCAGTAAGTATTAGGCCACACATAAGGGAATCCTTTTTCCCTGGATCTCTACCTATCACTATTAAATCCATATTTTCTCCAAATTGTTCTAGATATTCTGGTTTAATCTTAATCCAATCGTCACTTCTCTTTGCAACTAAATATTGTGAATCAAAGCGCTTTAAGATTATTCCCTCAGATCCTAGCTCAATCGCTTTTTCCAGGGATGATTTGATCAGTGAACTGTCATTACAATGTAGAGCTGGAAGGATTTCTACAAAATCAGGACAGGGTATTAATAGTTTATCAAGATAGTTTTTCCTTTGATGAAGCGGAAGTGTTGAAAGAGAAGAACCATTTAGATATACCAAATCAAATGCCATATACAATGGATGGTACCCATCCGGTTCGATATCGGAAACAGAAAGTGACTGCATTGCACTACTTTTAACTAAACCGAATGGAAGAATACAATTTTTTACAGAATCGTAAGTTACCATTTCACCATCAAGGATGCATTCCTTGACATCTTTATGAAAGTTTAAGTATCTCCCAATGGCACCATTATTTCTGTTATCCCCATATAGGTAACTATAATCCAAACCTCTTCTACTAAGAAATTTCAATTTTGCTCCATAGTTCATGTAGTGCAATTGAATTCTTTCTCCATCCATTTTTTCTTCAATAAAAAAATCATTTTTTAATCTTCTTGCAATGGTATCATATGAATATGTTAGTCTCTTTGCTGTTTCAGGTGTAAAAGCATGATCGATATTTATAGTCAAGTCATCATACTTCAATCGAAATTCAGGATTCCATAATTTTGAAGAGACTATTTTAAGATCAGACACGACACTTAAGTAATCCTGGGCATCAGGATGCCAACAATTTAGAAATTTGTGTTCTAGACCGCCTACTATTTTATCTTTCAATAATATATCAAAAAAATATTTTAATTCAACATAAGTCATATTTTCAAAGCAAAATTTGAAAGTTTCTGACTCTGAAATCTTTTGTGACTTTGAACCTTTATAACCTCTTTCGAGAACCAAATTGTCAAGACATTCGTTTAATTTATCGATTGTTATTTTAATCTTCTCTCTTGGCTCACCTTTCCTCTTTTTAATCTCTTCCACACAGAATGTAGATAATCTTACATTTCTATCAGCTCTATGTTTCCACCTCATTAATCTTCTTTCTGTTTCGGAATTCTTTGGCAATTTCAAATAATCACAAACAATTCTTATTAGCTTGGATTCTTTGATATTATACATTCGTCTATCTCTATATGGAATTGTTAAAATTAGTGCTGGATATATATCATTTCCGACTGTTCTTCTCCATATATCAATGAAATTGTTAATAATATCATAATATTCGATATATTTGGGTTTTGAACCATTCAGTTCCTTTGGTCGAAACTGTATTTGATCTAACTTTACAAATAACTCATCGCATAACCATTTGAAGTCTGGTGAAGGTGAAAAATTATGAGGTTCTTCTATATCATTAGTATCAGCTTTTGAAGTAAAAGTGGCATTGGTGTTGGTATTGGTACTGACAAGAATTGGAGTTGGATTTCTCATATATCATATCATAAATTATGTTACTATTGACAGCAGCAAAAATAATAAATGGTCGAAAGCATACCTAAGCTTTTTATGTTATAGAACTGTATATAAAATATGATGATTGAACGATTCTGTACTAGAAATTTCTGATCATGTTTCAATTTACCTTTTTTTTACGCTTTTAACTTTTTAAACCTTAGGTATTTTCACTGTTAAAATATTTGATATTCATTTGTTCAAAAGATCGAAAAATGCCATTAATAACGAAACGGAAGGTATGTTAAAAGGATACATATTATAGGTTCCACACTTTTTCAATAATTTGCTAAAATGTAATATTTAAAAGAAACAACCTTAATTTGATATAATTAGTGATATTGGATTGACTATATTTTTCTTCATGACAGAGCTCAGTCTCATTATAAATATTTTATATAAATGTTCGAATATTCTTCTTGATATATATGTGCGTGCTTCCTTTGCATTTAGGTTTTGTATAATTGATTAAATATCTAGACTCATTTTATCCTTGTAGGTTTATCTCAGTAATACAATGAAATTGATCCTATCTTATCATGTATCTTTTACTGTTTTTCTGGGTTTTTTGATTCAGGCTCTTCGACAGTAACGCTTGATGCTACATTATACCCATTCATTAAACCATTTGCAACTTCCTTTACAGATGGATTATTTAAAACATCTGATAGTCCACCAGGACCATTCCCATTAGCAACATTTTCTGCGAATTGTCTCACAACAGGATTTTGCATTAAGCCTTCTACTTGTTGCATCATTTCTGGGTTTTGGGTTTGCATCATCTGTTGAGCTCTTTGCATCATTTGGGTATTGTTCATTAAACTACCAAAACTGCTTCCTAGAACAGTAGCAATATCGGTTAACACATCGGTTGTATTCAAAGGAGGAGGACCTGATGGGTCAGGGACATTTTTGTTCAAAGTAACAAATGTTTGGACTAATTTTTTTGCATTCTCGTAATCATTTTTCATAACTTCAGTTGATTTATCACCTTCTAATTCCAATACTTTCTTGAAGGCATGTACAGCATCTTCGTTATTGCCTTCAGCTAATTTTGCAGCACCCAATCTTGAGTAAGCCTTTGAATATGTTGGATCTAATTTAATTGCGGTATTGGCATCAAGAACAGCATTGGTAAAATCTTCAATCATTTGATAAGCAGCAGCTCTGTTAGAATAGTAAAAAGGATTTGAAGGATATATTTCAATCGCTTTTGAATATTTATCAATAGCACTTTTATAATTTTTCAAACTCATTTGCTTATTACCTTCTAACTTAAGAGCTTCAGCTTCCTTTTTTTTGTCTTCACTTATTTCTTCATTTTTCACCTCTAATTCAACAACATCAGATACGTTCTGTAGACCCAATCCCTTTAACGTTATTGTTTTTAAATCACTCTTATTAAATACATCATTTATAATTTTCTCTTCAGATGTTGGATCAAGTTCAAATACATCAGATATACAGTCAATTGCGACATTTAAAGATTCGGCATTATCTTCAGAAACTTCTTTACCATCAATAATCTTATGTAAATAATTAACAATTAAGGCCCCAAAGTCCTTATTATTTAAACTCATTTTCTCTTACTTCCTTATAAATTAAAATCAGATTTACTAATAAACCTTTTGATTACAAAACCGTTCTCTGTTATATTTGAAGAAACTTATAGTATATACTATAATGTACTATATTATATTATATTATATTATATTAACACCAAAAAAATACTTGGATTACGATTGCCCTAGATTCTTATTTCATAAAACTCATTAATATACAACTGTATTGTGATGTATTTTATATTGATCATTGAATCATTATTATACATTTTAATTACTTCTATAATACTATAAGCAATAATACTTATTTCACATTATACTGAGAAAGAAAAGAAGAGAGAGGCTTAAAGAAACGTCTACCTAGATGATGATAGATAGAATAGAATATTCTTCGGGTTTCCACGGGTTTCTGAAGAGATTGTTCCACTATTTCTACGCGCATTTTAGTGAATCAAGCCAAGTTCCCAATGGGTAATAAAGTGATATGATGATATATACCGTAGCAAATTGATTAGAGACAGCATTACCTGCTGTGAAAAAATTGAATACTACTGGTTTGTAGTATTACGTTGGCTCATTGTGGTCACTCTGTTACTAGATAACTGGATCGTTCTTTTAGTTTTATACATAGTTACTTGTTATATTACTATATATATTCTTCTTTTATACTTCAAGATACCTTGAAGAGTTTTCGGTTCGGACAAACACTCGTGAGACATGGTAATATGGCTTTATAAGAAAAAGTCACATGACCAATGTCAGCAAATACCTCGAAAATTGGATTTGTTATATTTTGTATCGACGGTTTCTCTGTATGATAAAATCATTATTATATGATCAAAGAAAGCATTGTGTAAAAGTAGTGTATGATTGTATAGAGAGGAAAAAACATAAAATAAAGGCTAAAAAAGAAATCTTCCCCGCCAGGACTCGAACCTGGAATCTTCTGGTTCGTAGCCAGACGCCGTGACCATTGGGCCACGAGGAACAAGATTTTTATTTTTTGGTGGCAATTTCTATTTGTTGCCAATATCATTTGTGTATTAAATTTTTCTCTCCTAATGATATTGTGGAACAGACTGACATAATAGGGTAAATTATTTTTGCTAATGCTATTGATTTTAAGTGTGATAGGTACCCAATAATATAAATTCTTGTAACTACGACTAATTTTCCTAGTTTCACAGCCTGACACCATAGCTTTAATACATCACGAACTCACGATTCAAGAAGAGAAACGAAAACAAATATACAAATATACAAATATAACTCAACTGATTGATATATGTTGTGACTTTAACCTGGATACTCGAGGATAAAGTTTATGTCACTATTGCTATTTTTCGTACAAGGTGAATGTATCGATTTCTCTAATATATAAAAGGAACAAATTTTCAGTTCCGATATATAAAACTATTTATGTTATATAGACTACTCTGTTACAAGAGGATGAGCGAGTTACCACTCACTGACCTCAGTAATAGGTCAACGTACCTATTTAACGTATATCTACTCTCATCATAAGCTTAAAGCTCTTACCATTTTGACAATATAGTTATGAAATTTTCAGTTTCTTAAATGTATTTATACGACTTAAAAATATTATAAAATCATTTTATCACGTGCTAGAACTCTTGTGTATTGATTGGCCTCTTAATAATGCTTTTAATTATTACTTAGTTGTATGTTTAATTCGTTTTACGTTAGAATGAAGGCTGTTAGGCGTTTATTCTATAGGATCTTAAGGGTTGAGATCTGTAAGCTAAAGTAAATATACTTTTGTTGTACAAAGTAAGATACTAAATAATATACAATAATATACAATGATCTCTTTAAATACCAATGTTAATAATATGGAAGCAACAACCTTGTAATGACACACATGTCTTTACATGTCTTTACTGTCAAGGTTCGTACAAAGTAACCTCGAAGTAGTCTCGAAATAATACACTTGTTGAAACTCAAAATAGTATAAACTATACTTTTTTATAAACAATACTAGGAATTTGATCTTTTTATTCTGAAATACTTGATTTAGTATAATTGTTATTATTATAAATTTTGTTATTTCAATTTGGTAAAAACGATGTTTCAATATATTTTTAATATGTTATTAAATTTTTAAAGTTTTGTTCTAACTTGACATCAAATTTCCCATATTTAATAATAAATATAAAAAAATTTAAATGGATTCAAATCAATTGTTCAATTGTTACATTACTAATAGTTTTAAAATCCTATAGCTAGATGAACGATAATATTTATTATGTAATTTTTTATTTCTAAAAATATATAATACACTACCATAAAAATCAAAGATAATTAGTTATTACTCAGAAGGAAATAATATTGTCTTACTCGATCGCAAATATTAGTGAACTTATAAACTCCTGAAGTGATTCTATTTGACAGATTCAAGAATATCTTTGTTTTATGGTAATATTTCTGCTTTTAAGTAGAGTGACGAAACTAAAGTCATAAACTTAACATTAAATCATTAATTGTGGTGGCGATATTTAGAATTAACATTAGTTCAGTTGATTATAAATCAGTTTTTCATGATAATAAAAAACATTTCAATTACAACTGAATAATAATTTTCTCTAGAAATAACCCAACCTAAAAGTCCTGGCAAAAGTCACTCAATTAGTGCTTCCCTCTCTATGAACTATACAATAGAGTCTGGAAAATTTCAGTTGTATGATTACATTAGGATAATACTTAGAATTATCTAGGGAGTGATGCTGGAAAAGGAAATAGATAAACTGTTGCCATTATATTTGAACTTTCTTTCACTTGCTGAAGTGTCACACACTCTTAAAGAACAAAATTATAATAAACTATTTTTAGTAGAACTTTGACCTTCTCGATAATTATCCTTTAGAACAATAGTTTACTCGTGTGACGTATTGCTTTGTCAAATTGAGACTACAAAATTTTACTATACAGAATAGCTATACCACTTTACTTAAACATCCAATCATCTAACTAATTGCTTGGAATTTCCGATATATAATATATTCGTGAATTTTTAAATATTATGGCTAGTTTTCCTTAGAATTTAATTCCTTAGACATTCTATAGTTTCAAAAGAGGTAATATGTTCAAAGCTTTAAATAGAGGGGATAGACCACAAATACTGAATAAGAGTATATTTGCTCTTCAATTCCATCCCTATACTTTTGTTGTTTGTGTCGCATAAATGATGTTCGTGAATGGGTATTTATTGTTAGATATATGCAAATTATCAGAGTTCATTAAATGAATCAACTAATTTCAAACTTTTAAAGAAAATTAATGATTTGAAAGATAATCTATACCATAACATATAATTATTCATATAATAACATTTCCAAGGGTATATATGTCGTTTAAAAGGGTATATAAATTGGAAACTAACTAATGAATTTTGAAAATAAAGTAGGCACGTGATATATATCAAAAAACATATTAAATTTATTTAAATTTTCAAATACTACTAAATAAATATATTTTCAAAATATACTTCAACGTTTGTTTCCGAACCTTTAAAAACGGTTTAAGTGAAAGATAATATATTTTTTTAATGTTCTACGATGTTTTCCCTTATTAATAAAGTTCCTTTTCTTATGTATTGGGTTCGGTCTTTTGTCTTTCTACAGATGTGTTTGAGAAATTACCGTAAATATGAAATTAAACTTTTGGACATTTGATTACAAGATGTTTTTACTTGTAGTATAATTACTCTTAATTATTATTAATCCAAGTAACTACAGTTAGCTATTAATAATTGTATGGAAAAGAATATACAGTATTAAGTTATTAACGTTGCCTATCCATAGTTTTATCTTGTTTTAGAAAATTGAAACCTTATTATATTAGAATGGATTTTGAATGAAAATTATTTATGAATATACTACATTTATATGTTGATCCACTATAATTGGTACAGAATGACCAGAAAATTTCAAAAAGGTGATATAACGCTTATATATATATATATATATTCAAGTTCGTTATGACAATAGCAACAAGCAATTGACTGATCTTGACATTCAAGTAGAATACCAGAACATTTGGACAGAAGCTTGATATCTAGAATCAAAAATAAAATAGAACTTCAGATTAGAAATATATCCTCTTGATAAAGTAGCATTATAAATTTATTTTATTCGTAAAAGTGGCATCCTTTATTTTAGTTAGGTACAATTAGTTTTAATTTATCTTATGTTCTAACATTAGTTCAGAATACTAGGTTAACATTATTAGAAGCAGATTTATTTATACATAACCATTTTTGATTGCCAATGTCGTATGTAGAAATAATTGATATTATGCATACAATTATTGCATATTTTCGTACTCCTTTTACGAAATAATTAAGTAATGAACGGATATTCAGCCTCTCTTTTTCCCTTTTTACAAAAAAGGTTTTAAGTTCAAGGCTAAACTGCATCTTAGCTTCAAGGAATGTAGAACAAACTTGTTCAAAGCATAACATTTGCATTATATTTCCCATCAGTAATGAAATACAAAATAAATCAAAGAAGATAATTAAGACGAATGAATATTAAAGCTCATGCAAGATGGGTGTTTAATCAATTAATCCATCAATAAACAATAGATCATATTCTACTAAATAGGAAAGGTTACAACAATAGTTTCCAAATGTTGTACTATCTCCGAGAGGTTGAGTTTTACCAGCATTGGAATTGAAAGAGATGAGATGAGATGAGATGAGATCAGGATTCAAAGAATAAACTAAGAACAACTTCTTGAACAAGGTTGAATAAGTGTGTGTAGAGTAGTATACGTTTCTAACACATATATAATTATGGAATTAATAGTCTTTGAAATTGAATGAGATAAGCTTTGTTGGGTTTCTCCCTCTATTGAAACATAAACTAAATGCTCTGTACAGTAATTATTACGTATATATGATTTTTTATTGTCTTGCCTCAACATACTTTAAAAGGTTATCTGGTAAGAGGGGGGACCTACAAAAAAAACCATAACATAGAATAATGCATTATGGTTTAGTAATAATAAAAATATTCGTTACATTATTCGATATTCGTATGTGGCTGTCTCAAGTGTAAACCCCTACAAAAGATTATTTAATTCCTTATATTTGTTTCTATTTTATTCTCTTCCCTTCTGTTCCCTTCTGTGTCCCCTTCTCATCTCATCTCATCTCATCTCATCTCATCTCTTCCCTGTTACTATTCTCAAAAACGAGAATATTCTACAGCAAGAAAAGATCATAAAATGAAAAATAAATGGATCTCTTCAACTCTGGCTGGGTTGAGGTATATTATCATATTTTTGATAGCGAATGGGAGGGATGTTTTTTTTGTCCACCAAAAATTCCTTGTATTATCCTTCAAAACTGTTGAAAATTCATTAAATTGCTGGAGCAACGACGGATTTAATAAGTAGAATAGAACCCAACTCAATATATACATTAATCCTTGAATATAGATACTTTACATAATGAATATGAATCAACTAAATTAAGTTGTAAATGGGTAAGTAAGCACGCAAAAAGCAAAAAGCAAAAAGTTAGTTGAAAGTGCCTACATTTTTAGTTGGGAAACTTTAAACTGCGATGGGTATTATTTATTCTTGATCTATTATTGTATTGTCACGATTAACATCAACTAGATCAGATTGCTTGCTTTCATTATTGCCATCATCAGCAAGTATTAAATCACTATTGTAAGGTCTTTTGTTTGCTTAGGGAAATACACACCCACACATAAAACTACCATTTTCAAGATATATTTAAATATAAGAACACACACATATATATATGGGAAGTTTAAACTTAAATCTGGTTAATTTATAATTCTTGGCTGATTCAGGATTAGGGTTATATACAATATTTTACATTAATTTTGAAAAGGATAAGGATACAAATTTAAGAGTCGTCAAGAATATTAATCATGGTAAGCCAAAATATCCGTAGGAGATCAATAACATCAACATCAAGTACTGTTACCACAGTTCAAGTCGAAAAAGATGGCGCTAAAAGCAGTTATAGCTATATCAAACGTGGTGTTCAATTAGTGACTTGGGAACATCTACCGGACTGGCAAAAGGACAATGAACATATTTTGAGTGGATACGTTAAAGAAACCAATAGCATTAAAGCCTGCTTACATAGTCTATTATTCATTCATAATGAATCTGTTAATATTTTTTCTCATTTAGTACCTGCATTTTGTTTTATGACAACTATAATTTTTGATAAATATGTTGTAGAAAGGTATCCTACTACAACACTAAAAGATTATTTGATGTTAGATCTTTTCTTATTCGGTGCATTCACTTGTCTCATGATGAGTAGTGCTTTCCATTGTTTAAAAGCCCATTCACCTTACGTTTCTAGCTTTGGCAACAAATTAGATTACCTTGGTATTGTCGTTTTAATTGTATCTTCAATGTCAAGTATTCTTTACTATGGATTTTATGATAATTCTTTCCTTTATTTCACATTCTCTGCAATTACATTCACTTTTGGTCTTTCATGTGCTGTGGTATCATTAGGTGAACGATTCCGTGCAAGGGAGTGGAGACCATATAGGGCAGCAATGTTTGTTGCATTTGGCTTATCAGCTCTTTTGCCAATATTCGCAGGCTTTTTATACTATGGGGTTCAGGAAACTACCATTAGAGTTCAATTAAAATGGGTTGTATTAGAAGGTGTCTTTTATATCTTCGGTGCATTATTATATGGTGTTAGATTTCCTGAAAGGTTAAAGCCAGGTATGTTCGACATTTGGGGTCATTCCCATCAATTATTTCATATTTTGGTTGTCGTAGCCGCTTTATGTCATCTCCGTGGATTATTAGGAAGTTATACAATTGTACATACTAGGTTATCATCATTGACACAATAGTTGAATCTATTAAATCACAGTTCGTGATCAATTATTGTACTATGAATATATACAATCTTTCAATTCTCAAATTATTGAATTGATCGAAAAATTTTAAAAGTAATTTAAGCAAACATACTTTAATTTCATTAGATATAATATAAATACAATGCCACGCAAACCTTGCAGCCTTAAACTGACGACAACTTTATGACCAGAGAAAACAGACATTTAATATTCTATTGAAACAGAAACCAAAAAAATACAATATATGGTTTAAAGTGTGTTAATCAATTGATAAGTAGTTCACTATACGTTGTTATGCTATGACTTGATTTTTATTTTAGCTTCTTGTTAAATATCTTAAGTAATGGAGGGATATGGATGATGCGAAAAAATGTAAAACTAATAACAAAAATAAATATCCCAAAAAAAAAAAAAAGAAATATTAGAGATTTAAATAATTAACATACATTGATGATTCTTGATGATGACTTTAAAAGATTGTTTAAGGATTTGGAACTGCTGTAAATCCAATTAGAGAGCTTTCTAACTTATAGAAGTATTGGTATATTTATATACTGCTAAATATCTAAACTGTTTCCTTCAAGTTTACAACATCTTTTTTTGATTGCATTACATTTTGTGGGAGTTCTAAAGAAAAGAAGGTAATAAGATTGTTGTTATAATCAACCAGAAATATTAAAGATTAAATAACGAACAAAGAGAGGGAAAAACAAATATCGAAGGATAGTACTTTAATTCAATATCATATAAAGTCTGCGAATAAAGATTTCACTACATAAAGTGCCTAATGGTTTAGATTTATAGAGAGAATCAAGTATGGGAAACAATTTAATGTATAAACCAACATCAATTGATATACATAAAAATCAAGATCTAAAATTGAATTCAAAGTATTCTAGAAATGAGGGTATGATAGAGGGAAATGATAATAATAAAAATATACAAGATGATTCAGACGATGAACAAATAACAGGATTTCCAAAATTAAGTAATTTTGGGTCTGCACTATTAACTTCTGAAAAGGAAAACATAACAAAGAATAAACTTACAAACACTAATTTAACTCTAAATGATGATAAGTCCTTAGCATATGATAATTATTCTTCTACTTTATCTATCAATCGGGCTGGAAATGTTAATACTACTTCCAGTATGAGTAAAGCAAATAATAATTACGAATATAATAATAGTAGTGAGAATATTTCAACGGGGAACTCGACCTTTCAAAGGTTTAAAGGCCTCCATGAATCTATCAAGGATGAATTAAATACTAAAAATCTAGAAAGAAGGAAAACTAGACGATTTTTTAATAGGACAAAAATGGGTGTATTGGGTCCTGCAATGAGGACCAATCTAGAGAATGAAAAGCTGGGGAAGAACTCAAAACATGAGACTATTGAAGAAAAAATCAATAAATATGATCAACCAGCACATTTAATTTCCTCATCATCTACAGTTGCATCCTCTTCGTATACTTCTTATCATGATACTCACCAAAGTATCAACCAAACTTCACAGACTACGATAAATTATGATTTAATAGATTTTGGAGAATTAAATCCAGTTCAATATATTAAAAAAAATAATCTGCCAACTACGGAATTACCTACAATTTCAAAATTGTATTTCGAAAGACAAAGGGCGGAAAGTAGAAAAATTGCATTAAAAAAACATTCATCATCGAAGGAATTATTATTTTCTTCATCATCTTCTGCATTAAAAAATTCATTCAACCAAATATCAGATGCTCAGAATGAGAGCAAATGTATATCTAATAACACCGGGGATACAGATGCTTTGAGTGAACCCAAGATTAGCGATAAGGAAAACAGCAGGTCTACATGGAGTAGAAATGGCTACGCTATCTTGAAAGATGATTATATAAATAACTTAGAATACTATAAAAATCCTTCGGGATATAGTAGCTCACTGAACAAAAAAAGAGAAGCACTATCAAGCATAAATGTTAATACGAATCATAATCATAGCTATCAAGAACTTGGTGACAATAAGCGTAATAAGATTTCAACAAAAGGTATTGAATCTGAAATAGAACATGTAGCTGCTAGGAATAGCATGCTTGAACAACAGAAGGTCGAACAACTAAATTCAGCTAATATACATAAACATGGTAAGAAAAAAGTGGAAATAATCGAACCAAAGTCAGCATCAGCTAATAGAATAGCTTCAAAAAGTGTTGTATCTGTTAATGGAGTAGAGTATGAAAAAATTGAACTTTTGGGTAGAGGTGGTTCTTCAAAAGTATACAAAGTTAAAAATGTTCATAACAACAAGATTTTTGCCTTAAAACGAGTAATGTTTGATGAGTTTGATGAGTCTAGTATTGACAGTTTTAAAGGTGAAATTGAACTTCTAAAAAAATTAGAAAACGAAAAGCGAGTTGTTACTCTAATTCAACATCAAATGGAATCTGGTGTATTGCTGTTGATCATGGAATGTGGTGATCATGATTTATCACAGATTCTAAACCAAAGAATGAATATGCCATTGGATATTGAGTTCATAAGGTTTCATGCTAGAGAAATGTTAAAGTGTGTTAAAGTTGTCCATGATGCTGGCATCGTGCATTCAGACCTGAAACCTGCCAATTTTGTATTTGTTAAAGGAATCCTTAAGATTATTGATTTTGGTATAGCTAATGCTGTTCCGGACCATACTGTGAACATATATCGTGAAACCCAGATAGGCACACCTAATTATATGGCACCCGAAGCTCTCGTGGCAATGAATAGCCAACAAGATTCAGATCAGCAAAATAAGTGGAAAGTAGGAAAGCCTTCCGATATATGGTCATGTGGTTGTATCTTATATCAAATGTTTTATGGAAGGCCTCCATATGGATCTTTTCAAGGTCAAAATAGACTGTTAGCAATAATGAATCCTAATGTAAAAATTGTTTTCTCTGAAAAAACATCCAACAATGAGAGGATACCTCGATCAGCCCTAGAAACAATGAAAGCATGTCTTATAAGAAATCCAGATAAGAGATGGGCTGTTGACCAAGTATTAGAAGGCTCATTCTTCAACCCTGTTATGGTAACTTCGTTTATTATTAGGGATTTAATTAAAAATGCAGTGAATTATGGTGCCGACCAGAGATATGTGACTGACGAAAAAATCACAGAGCTAGCAGATGATGTTTTAAATAGATTAGCAGATTTTAGATTGTAGTATTAATATTTTTATGTAGATATATACTTTTAAACGTATAGAGACAGCATTTAGAAAGGTTACAAGGACTAATTACAGTTTTTACATTTTATATTCTAACGCGTGCTATAGTTAATATTTTGGTTGTTCACTGTACTTGATCTAATCTAATTCATTTTATCTCCAAATAAAACATTTCAGTAGAAGTGTCTATATATGAAATTTATTATATTATTATACAGTATTTATTATTATGTCACTAAAATTTCCTTTTCTTTGTTGGACGTGCATTCTTTTGGCGCTTCTTTTCTTTTGCCATTCTTTCCTTTCTTATTTGGGCTGTAGTCTTCAATTCTGTGTTACCAGAAGAGCCACCAAAACCTTTAACACTGACACCACGTTCAATTGCACTTTGTACTTTCTTCTTTTGTGATTGATAGTCATCTCTAAACTTATCAGGTAATCTAGGTGCCTTATTTTGTTTGTGTTTGAATCTACCTCCTGGTCCACGTTGTGAACCACTATCTGTCGTTGGATCAGAAAGCAAGTTGGTTGGAATGCTTGTTTCCCTTGCACCAGTTTTGATACCTTTGATATTTCTAGATTTAGACCATTCAGCAAATTTTCCCGATTTGAAACTGGCTGGTATTTTTTGACCACTCTCACCGATGATGTATTTTTTATTATCAATACCTTGCATATTAACATACTTCTTTCTCTTTTTATCCCATTTTACTGTAGCCGTCTGCTTATGAACTTGGACTTTATCGTCATCGTTCAAATCATATGCAGCTTGTGCAGCATCATTCGTAAAACCTGAGGTAATTTGCAATTGTTTGTCTTGGATATCTCCAGCTGGAGCATAATGGCTGATAAAGAAATTTGGATCCCTGAAAGTTTTGGACTTCTTTTTCCTTGAAGATTCTTGCTCCTCGAGGATCTTGTCTGCATCTTCAAATGACTTTAGTGCCTCTTCAGGAACGGAATATCCTGCTTCATGATCCTCTCCTTTTAAAATCTCATCCTCAATTTTGTGTGTCAACCCTGCAACTCTTTCTTTGTCTAATAACTCTTGCCTTTTACGAGCTTTCCTTTGAATCGGAGCTATTTGCTTTCTTCTTTTTTGCATCAAAATAGCTGTATCGTCGTTAGGATTTTTACCAAATTCGAAGACAGTTTCTTTATTCCTTCTATTTTGAAACTTGGCCAAAAAATTTAGCTTTTCTTTCTCTAGATTCCTGCCAAATCTAATATTTTGTTCGTCCCAGCCAGAAGCAATAACTTCTTTACTTCTTTTGATAGATTCCGGAGACGCAGCAGTACGAGTTCTGCAGTAAAGCTTTTCAGCTTTTAGTGAAACCTTTTTTGCCATTTGAAGATCAAAATTAGATTCAATTATATTTTTATATAAATCACCAACGCTCTCAATGTCATATCTTGGTGCTGAACCTAAAACCAATCTATTGGTATAGGATATCTTTGGATCTTCAAATGAGCTTTCAGTATTACCATCTGCTATCCATTTACTTTTCATCAATTTACAACTAGCTTCATACATTGATGTCAATAGAATTTTTTTACCCAAAAATAATTCCAAGTCAAGCATATAAGGCAATTCTGTTTCAGAAACTATGGAATATGCCCAACCTCTGTTACCAGCTCTTGCAGTTCTACCTACACGATGAATAAAGATCTTTGAAGATGCTGGAAGTGAATAGTTAATGACATTTGCTAACATAGGAATATCCACACCTCTTGCGGCAACGTCAGTAACAACAAGGATAGAGGTTAGACCTGCTCTAAAATTCAATAACTGACGCTTACGAGCATGCTGATCTAATGTACCATATAGATATGAAACCAAAAACCCACTGTCTTTCAATAATTGAGTAATATATTCTACATGGTGACGGGTTGGTGCGAATACAATTGTAGATTTTTCAGTAGGTAGCTCATTCGATGCAGAAACTTTTAGTTTTTGAAATTTACCCTTCTTGGATTTCCTTGAATTTTGTTTGCCTTTATTATCCTCATCCTCAGAGTCAGAATCACTTAAACTTTTGTTGAAATCGGATAGCTTCTTAATTTGATCATCAGTTCCTAACGGGATTTTAATGACATCCTGCAGAAGATATAAAAGGTTATTTTCTCTTTCTTCATTTTTGGTTGACAAAAATAGTATTTCCAAATTTTCTGATATTTTTGTTTCAGCATCTAAACGGACCAAGACAGGATTTGTTAACCCAGCCTTGGCAAAATCTACCAGGGAACTTGGTAGCGTAGCCGAAAATAACAAAGTCTGTCTATTCATAGGTAATGCAGCTAGTAATTCATTAAGTTGTTCTTGAAAACCCATTTCAAATAATCTATCAGCTTCATCAAAGACCACGTATTCGACAGTTTTCAGATCTAATGACATTTCAACTTTTAAATGCAAAAAACGACCTGGTGTAGCAACAATGACGTCTGGGTTTGACATCATCATACTAAATTGATCTTCTAAGGAATCACCACCAGTTAGAAGAACACTACGTAAATGAGTACCCTTTGAAAATTCTTTAAATACACGATGTGTTTGAAGTGCCAATTCTCTTGATGGTGACAGAATAACTGCACGGGCACCAATTTTACTGGAATGGCTCTTTAACTTTTCTATCATTGGCAAAACAAATGCAGCAGTTTTACCAGAACCAGTACGAGCCATACCAACAATATCTCTCTTTTGTAGAATCAACGGAATGGTTTTACGTTGAATTGGTGTAGGTTGTCTAAAACCTTTCTTATGAACATTTGATAGTATTAATTTTGAGAAACCAAAACTTGGGAAACTACCTTTCTTGTGCTTTGACTTTTCACTGTTATTAATCGAAAAATAATCATTCAAATCATCATCATCATCTTCATGGTCACCCTTATTATTAGAATCTTCATCATCAGATATTTCTAATGATGGGAAACTATTGTTGTCGGTTAACGTTTTATTACTCGATTTAGGTTTCTTTTTGGTATCTTCTTCATCACTAAAGTCAACAATATCCTGCACTTCTTCTTCATCATCACCAGAGCTCTCACTTTCGTCACTACTGTCTGCAGTATTTAAACCAATATTCGATGTGATATCAAATCCATCATCATCATCACTACTGGAGTTACTATCTTCAACATGCCTTTTTCTTTTACTAATAATCCCCATTATTGCTGTTGATTTAATCTAAATTTTAAATAAACAAACAATGGTGAAATCGTTGATCAATTAAAAGGTCACAGAATGGGGTTTTTATGTTTAATCTTACAAATTCATAAACCATAACTTATTATCAGTGGACTGTTTTATACTTGATTGAAGCATTGAATTTTTCAGCTCATCGCTAATTTCAAAAAATTTTCATTTAAATAATCTAAAGGCGCTATCAAACAAATATTCCAATAAATGGATAGTGCATTGATAATACCTTTTTCTATAAAAGTAATAATACTAAATTCACCATGTCATCAAAGTATCACACAGTATATATCACGATATATAAAAAACAGTAGTTGTTGAAGGTGATAAAATTGGAGTAAATAATTCAGGGTTCCTAAATATTTGTTGACACTAAAATAATCACGGACACTAATTAATCAGACCTTAAGTGCTCAGATCTTGCCGGCTTTTTAAAAGATAATGATTAGAGCAAAAGTTTGAAAGGAAATAATTCCATAAAATGGCGATACTCTAATAAGTTTTCTAATTTTTTTTTTATTCCAATGAAAATGTTTGGGAACGTTTCCACTTGCATTAGAAATAACTATCTTTTTATATCATTCGGTTACTCTAGAATGTTTCTAAGATACGATTGAACGACTCAGATATTCAATGAATAATCTACCTCAATGGGTAATTGTCCCAGATCATATACATTTATCCATCTCTCTCTCTCTCTCTCTCTCTCTATATATATATAAACCTATAAATTCAATCATAAAAGAATACTGACATCAATAGATAGCTAATTTTTTCTTATATAACATTTGCACGTGACATTAGTACAAAGTTTAAAATTTATCACCGTTTGCCTTAACAACGTAACGTAACGAGCAAGAGCTTTCCTGGGAAGCTTTATTGGAAAACTATTTTATTGATTTAATTCAAGACGTCGTTCAATCGTTTCGTAAAATGTATAAAATGCTCATTTAGAAAGCCATTTCTGATTCATAATATTCTTGTCTTTTTCTTAGCCTTTTTATTATTATTATTATTATTATTATGGGATTTAACTTTTGCAATGGTGTGACGATTTCATCAAACATAGTTCATTCGAAGAAGAACAGAGGCACTAACCTTATTACAAGTTGGTAATATTAAATAATAATCTATTCAAGTGAGATAAACATAAGAAACTTTTTAAAGCAATGCTTTTTGAGAAAGAATTATATGTTGCAACTGAAGCCGTTCGTAAAGCTTCTCTTCTTACTAAGAGGATTCAATCTCAAGTTATCGCCCACAGAGAGTCATCTACAATAATTAAAAGTGATAGTTCTCCTGTAACTATTGGTGATTATGCTGCTCAAACTATTATTATCAATGCAATCAAAACTCATTTCCCAAATGATAAGATTTTAGGTGAAGAAACTGCAACAGGGTTAGAGGATAAATTTGTCAATGAGATTTTAACAGAAATCAAAAACAATGATACTGTATTTGATAAAGAATATAAAACCGATTTCGAATTTACCAATTCCCAATTTCCATTGGCAAGTATTGAAGATGTTAAGAAAGTGATTAACTTTGGTGATTATAAAGGTGGTAGAAATGGTAGGTTTTGGTGTTTAGATCCAATTGATGGTACTAAAGGATTTTTAAGAGGTGAGCAGTTCGCCGTATGTTTAGGATTAATAGTTGATGGAATAACGCAGGTAGGTGTTATTGGCTGTCCTAACCTATCATTATCATCGTTCGGAGGGAAAGATAAACCAAACCATGAAAAATTTGGTTATATATTTCGTTCAGTCAGAGGATTTGGAGCATTCTATGCAGCAGCAGCAAGTACAAGTACCAGTGCAAGTACAAGTAATTGGACACAAATTCATTCAAGAAAGCTTTCTAGTACTAATGAGATGATTTCATTAGAAGGTGTCGAGAAGGGACATTCATCACATGATGAGCAAGCAATTATCAAAGAAAGATTGGGAATTACTAGATCATTAAACCTTGATTCCCAAGCTAAATATTGTTTGTTAGCCTTGGGATTAGGCGATTTGTATTTAAGATTACCTATTAAGTTAAGCTTTCAAGAAAAAATCTATGACCATGCTGCAGGTAATGTTTTAGTTCATGAAGCTGGAGGTATTCATACGGATGCGATGGAAAATGTTGAATTGGATTTTGGTAATGGGTTAACATTGAGCACTAAGGGAGTGATTGCATCCTGTGGACCCGAAAGTTTACATGGATTGGCAGTTAAGACATCCAATGAAGTGATAAACTCTAGAATCAAGAGTGATTAACAAAAAAGAAAAGAGAACATGTTTATGAACAGCCAGATATTTACATATGTACATATGTAAACATGTAAATATGTAAGTAGGTATGCAGTATTAATTATATTTTATTACAATTGATATGGGAAGTTTCAAAAGAGGGCATTAGGGAAAAAGAAGGTATATGTATTAAATCAGATTACTTAATTTAGTGATGGAATGTGTAACCAATAAGTTATCAGTTATATAAGTGGATGAGGGGAGTCCCATTTGATATTAGTAATAGCGTCGTGAGTGTTGTTGCTGGAGGTTAATATGCCAGTGCCAGCAGAGACAGAGACAGAGACAGAGACACTGAGATCCCTCTCTCTCTCTGCTTCTCGTGGGTTTTTCCTATCCCATTTCCCATTCGGGTTTAATATACATTTTTAGCTATTCCAACCAGTTGCAGCCACTTCATCTTGTCTCAGCCTGGGCAGCAACATCGAGAGGAACAGCAGCCAAAAATAAAAACAAAACCGGTATGGCCAGCGAACTGAACCGATCACGTGACAAAATGAACAATAAAAAAATACGAACGAACGAAAGAAGGAGAGAAAAAAAGAAAAAAAAGAAAAAAAAGAAATGTTTTTTGTCATTTCGAAAACTTCCCTCTCTCAGCTGTTTCTCCTCTTACTGAGGATGCTATCGATGCTGATGCTGGTCTGCTTCTCATCGTCGTTGTCGTTGTCGTTGTCGTTGTCGTTGTCGATGTCGATGTCGTTGTTATTGCTAATTTTATGCCATATGGGATAGTTCGATTTATCCCATCTAATCTATCTCTATCTCTGTCTTTATCTCGCTTTCTCTATCTACTAAATATTTTGTATCAAAATTTATAGAACTTCGAAAAGTGATATTTTTTTATCACGATCAGAACTAGTTGATGCTTCCTTATTCTTTGATGTTCACGTCTTTAAAGTAACCCATATACTCTCATTAACAAGTACAACAAGCTCATCCACATATACCAACATATTTATACATATTATCCATTGATACTATCAGGGTGGTACTTTCTCTCATCGTTTCGTTTTTATTAAAGTTTAATTTTTTTTTTCGTACTATTCAGAGAGGGTTGATACTAATTTTAAGACCCTTGAATGGGATAAATTAAAATTAATATATATCATATCATATAATCTCATCTCATATCGTTTCTTTGAGCCTATCCCCGTCCCATACATCAGACTTATAATCAAGCAAAACCGAACCAAGCTAAGACACTCCAATACCCTTCTCTCCTCCGCCCCCACTCCCACTCTCACTTTCACTGTCGAGATTTATCTTTATATGAACACTTACATATACATATTATAATTGGAATAACAGAACTTTTTAATTTATTATTATGCCTATAGATAGTAATTTAATGGTATCAGAAAATCCATCCTTGGTTAAAAGAAAAAATATTACACCTGTCGGTGGTGGTACTACCTCTTTAAACGTTGTTTTAGGCTTACCTGGTCTATTTTCTACTTTTTCAGAGGATGATTTATTAAAATTACGTATCTTATCGATAGTATTTGCATTCATTTCTTTAGTCACTGGGATGGTCGGTTTATTCTTATTATGGAATATCGATAGGAGAAGGAAATCATTTAGACATGAGTTATTATTATACTTGATCATTTGCGATAATATCAAGACTTTAATCTCAGTCATATATCCAATGATTCTGTTAATACGACGTCAAGCAAGAGGTATTCCTGCTTTATACAACGTTTTAGGATTTTTAACTGCATTCGCTATAGAAGGTGCAGATTTCGCTATTATGGTCTTTGCTTTGCATTTCGCTATATTAATCTTCAAACCAAATTATAAATGGATTAATAAGAGAACAAATAACGTAGAGGGCGGTTTATATAAATACAGGTACTTCATTTGGTTGATTGCACTTTTAACCCCAATCGTTTTAGCAAGTTTAGCATTCATAGATTTTAACGAAATTTATTTCCAAATAGCATACAAATATACAAATATCACTGAAGATAACAATTATTTCGGTTTCGGTTTTCAAGCAAGAAAAGGTGGATATAAGCCTTTGGCTGTACAGTGTTATTTACCTCCAGTGCCGTATTGGTATAAATTAGCATTAAGTTGGATCCCGAGATACGTTTTAATCGTTAGTATCTTTGGCATCTATATTAGCATCTACGTTTATGTATCAAGAGAAAGTTCGAAAATTAAGAGAGAAATTGCAGAATTTGAACATAAAAATTTGACTCTACTAGGTGAAACCATTAAAACAGAAGAAAATCCTCGTTCTTTCAAAAAAAGTTTAATTTCAGTTTTTAGACATATCCTAGGGTTCCTGTCATTATCTTTATCGATAGATGATGATAAAGTTAGCGTAGACGATTCAATGAATTCAAGATTATTGTCAAAATTATCAGAAACAAAATTTCAAGCAAATCAGATCCTTAAAAACCCTAACAATGATCCAAAGGATAAAGACCTATATGACAATACCAACAATACCTTTAATGATATAAATGGAAGCATAGAAAATTTGGATACGTCCCAACTTTCAACCTTTACCCAAGGGATTATCAGTAACAACATTCCTAATAACAACAATCATCTTAATGATACTATTAGTGATAATATTCTTAACCGAAATACTACAATTGATGTTCTATTATTTGATGGCGAAGCAGATTCAAACAGCAATAATAATAATAATAATAATGACAATAATAACAATATCATTTGCAGCGATATAAATGAATCTACTGTCAGGCAAGTGACAAAAAATAACCACCGTGTCACATTGAATTCCGAAATCTATTCAATGTCATTTAGCGGCAGATCTGATTCAGGTGAAGGCACAACTGATGATTCAGAAGCTGTCAAAAATATAAAATATATCTTTCAAAAACAAACGTATTCAGCTATGGTGAAACGTAGAAAACAGATTCAAAGTAATTTAAGATCAATTTTCATTTATCCATGCTCGTATATTGCCCTTTGGATCTTTCCAATTGTAATAGATATTACACAATATAGATATGAAATTTCACACGGGCCAGTTATATGGCTTGCCTACATTAGTACCATCGTCACACCATTGAGTTCATTAGTTGATACATTTGTCTTAAGTTACAGAGAAAGACCTTGGCAACATTCATGGTATCACATTCAGAAAGAAGAATTGAGAAGCATATATTCTGTAAAAGGTCGTATACCCGAGAAGGATATACGAGAAATGTGTAAAAGTCATAATGGCCGCAGAGGTTGGTACTACCGTGGAGAACACGAGAGGAAAGAATCGTGGTCTCGAAAGGAAGAAAGGTGGAAAAGATGGTCCTGGCATACAGTTCAATTGTTTAAACGTCTTTTTACCTTTAGCTTTAAGTTCGGTAAAGCAAATTCAGAATCAAGAACATCTGATTTAGAAACTGAACGCTTTAGTGATGTGCATAAAAATGGCAAAACCGAAAATATAACTTCATTAAGCCGACCTTCAACTTTAGCTAGAAAGACTGCAAATAAAATTGAAGTGACAAATGAAGAATTAAAGGACTCATACGATGATGATTATCAACATATGTCTATATTTTGGAAAATTATTCATTCAATTCCTATGTTGGAAGGTATCGACCTTGACGAATTAAATAGAGAGATACAAAGTGAGTATGCCAAAGCACATGGTGGTATTGTAAATTTAGAAGCTGTAACCCAAGCACTTGCACCATCTTCTAGTGGTGGAATTTCTAAATCAAGAACTATGAACAAAGTTTCAGATGTTAATGGTATCTTCTATATGTCTGGACATGTAGATGAAAACACGGACAATCCAAGGAACCAAATTGTGTTCACCGATATCGAATTGATTAATGGTCAAGCTGTAACAAATATGGACTTTTCAGACGTCGTTGAATCTTCTAATAATACAAAGGTTTTAAAATCCAAGCATATCAAAAAGGAGGATAACGAAATGGACATATTGTCCTTCTTAAACGAAGATTATGGAGGTTCCTAATTAATTTTTTTTTTTCGCATAAAACACTTTCTTAATATAAAAATATTTTCATAGACACTGCATTAATTTTCTTTTCAAATAGATAATATATATATATATATATCATAGACTATTTAATTTAAATCTTTAACTATTATATTATTATCTCCTCTATAAATTTCGAATACTATCTAGAGCACTGTCTTTTCTCTCTCATAAAATATTAATTTGTAGTTCGGATATAAATTTTATCTTCACAAATGGAATTAAAGATAAATAGTTGAAAAATCGAAACTATTAGGCCTATAAATGATATAAGGAATGGATTTTGTAGGTCTGGATTCTACATGCAAGAGATTGGTGAATGCCCTCGTTGTTTAATTCTGGCTATAGAATATTGATAAATTTGAGGAGAATGGGTATTAAGAGGGAAATTCAAAATATGTCATCAGATAGTGTCTCTGATGTTTCTAAATCACCTAGTGAATTTGACCTTCAATTACAAAATGAAATTGAAAGGGCAAAAAGTGAGAAACGTATAAAAGAGAAGAATAAAAGGTTCAAAAAGCCTAGCGCATCTGCGATGAGAGATGAGGCAGGTTTCAAAGTTAGAGTTGTCGATACAAATGGTGACAAAAAGAAGCAAGATGATCCAGATTATAAAGTAATTATTGATGGCCCTTTGAGAAGAATTGAACCATATTATTTTACATACAAGACTTTTTGCAAACTAAGGTGGAGAGATAGAAAATTATTAGATGTTTTTGTAACTGAATTTAGAGATCGTGAAGAGAGTTATTACAAAAAGACCATAGCTGGTGGTCTCGTTTTCTTAAATGATAAACCTGCAAATTTAGAAAGTATCATTAGAAATGGAGATTTAATTACGCATAATGTACATCGTCACGAACCTCCTGTAACATCAAGACCAATTAAAACAGTATTTGAAGATGACAACATTTTGGTTATTGACAAACCTAGTGGTATTCCTGTACATCCTACTGGTCGTTTTAGATTTAATACCATTACTAAAATTCTAGAAAAGAAATTAGGTTACAGTGTCCATCCCTGTAACAGATTGGATAAGCTAACCAGCGGTTTGATGTTTTTAGCAAAAACTCCTAAGGGTGCTGATGAAATGGCAGACCAACTAAAGGCAAGAGAAGTCACGAAAGAATATGTGGCTCGTGTTGTTGGAGAGTTCCCAGTCGGTGAAGTAACTGTGGAAAAACCTGTTAAAACAGTCGATCCAAGAGTGTCATTAAACTCTGTATGTTCTTTAGAAGATGAAAATGCCAAACATGCAAAAACAATTTTTAACAGAGTTAGTTACGATGGTAAAACAAGTATTGTGAAGTGCAAACCACTAACTGGTAGAACACACCAAATTAGGGTACATCTTCAGTATATTGGGTTCCCAATAGCTAATGATCCTATATATTCAAACCCTCATGTTTGGGGTCCAGGTCTTGGTAATGGAGGAGATGCTGATTTTGAAGATGTGATTAAGAAACTAAATGAAATTGGTAAAACAACATGTTCAGAATCTTGGATCAATGCAAATTCAGAAGGTGAATTGCTTAGAGGGGAAAAATGTGAAGTATGCGAAACTGATTTGTACACAGATCCGGGACCTAATGATTTAAATCTATGGTTACATGCTTACCGTTATGAATCAACCGAATTTGATGAGAATCAGAGAAAAAATTGGAGTTACAGAACTGATTTCCCTGATTGGGCATTGCAATCGAATAAAAAATACATGGAATTAGCTTTAGAAGAAGCTAAAAAGTGTCCACCGACAAAAACAGCATTTAGTGTAGGTGCTATTCTTGCCAACGGTACTGAGGTGTTATCTACTGGTTATTCAAGGGAACTTGAGGGAAATACTCATGCTGAACAATGTGCATTGGAAAAATATTTTACTAAAATCGGTAAAAGAGAGGTGCCACTGGGATCAGTACTTTATACTACAATGGAACCTTGTTCATATAGATTAAGTGGCAACAAACCATGTTTAGAAAGAATTCTTGATGCCAAGGGAAGAATAGGCTCTGTATTTGTAGGTGTATTAGAGCCAGACACATTTGTTAAGAATAATGTCAGTTTCGACACTTTGACATCAAATGGTATTGATTACATTCAAATTCCAGGATATGAAGAAGAATGTATAAATGCTGCAAGAAAGGGACATGATGAATAAAAAATTAAATTAATGGACATTGTTAATAAAACCACAATATTATATGTAATGTATAAAGACTTTTGTAAATTTAGTACACTTTGCATTTGTAGTACTTCATCGCTCTGACTATTACAACTTCTAATGGAACTCACATTATACGAGAAGTTCGTGTAGAATATCTAAATTATCGAACTTTCAAGAACTTGAGGAAAAGTTCGAACACATCTATGACAATAGATAAAACCTTTGTCAATTGCTTGAGATAAAGATATTAAACATCGAATTGGAATTTCTACACTCTCTCTATGTTGAATTTTTAATTTTCCAGGCCGTCACTTCAGATCAGTATTTAATCATGTCCAAAAGAAAGGGTTCTAAGATCAAGGCTTCTCCATCGATTGGGAAGACTAAAGATTCAAGTCAATTTTTGGAAGCATTGAAATTATATGAAGGAAAGCAGTATAAAAAGTCACTAAAGATTTTAGAGACGATTTTAAAGAAGGATAGTTCTAATGTTGATGCTTTAGCTTTGAAAGGTATGAATTTAAGTTCTACCGGTGAAAAGGAAGATGCTGAGATCTATGTTAATAATGCCATTAAAAAGATCAACGGTACTTCTGCTTCACCAATTGCTTGTCATGTTCTTGGTATTTATATGAGATCTAACAAAAGATATAGCGAATCTATCAAATGGTTTCAATCTGCGTTAGACAATGGGTCTTCGAACCAGCAAATCTACAGAGATTTATCTACTTTACAATCTCAAGTTGGCGACTTTAAAAGCGTATTGATCAGTAGAAGAAAATATTGGGAATCTTTTATGGGCTATCGTGCCAATTGGACTTCTTACGCGATTGCCCAAGATATCAATGGTGAATTCCAACAAGCTGTCAACACCTTATCTCAATTTGAAAAATTATCTGAAGGTAAATTGGGCGAAGCTGAGATGTACGAAAACAATGAATGTCTAATTTACAAGAATGACATTATGTACAGGGCTGCTGGATCTCAAAAAGATAAGTTAGAAAATGTCTTGAAACATTTAAATCAAATTGAGCCAAATGTTTTCGATAAGTACAGTGTATTGGAAAGAAAAGCTTCTATTTATATGAAAATCGGTGAACTGAAAGAAGCAGCAAAAGTTTACAGAACCTTAATCAAGAGGAACCCAGACAACTTTAGTTATTATAAATTATTAGAAGTTGCATTGGGTATAACTGGTAACAATCAATTAAGAAAAGCTTTCTATGAAAGAATGGCCAAGTTTTATCCTAGATGCGAACCTCCTAAATATACACCATTGACTTTTATTACTGATGAAGATGAATTATCAAAATATCTAGAGAACTATGTCATCCCTCAGTTAGAGCGCGGTGTTCCAGCGACTTTCACCAACATTAAACCATTGTATAAAAAGAGAGGCGCTATAGTTCAAAAATTAGCAGAAAATATCGTCACTAAATATTTCGACAACTTAGATGCAAGTGCTAATTCAGTTCAATATATTTGGACTTTGTATTTCTTGGCCCAACATTTCCTATTCGTAAAGCAGTTCCAAAAAGCACAAGAATTTATTGAAAAGGCTATTGAACACACTCCAACTATGGTTGAATTCTATATCTTAAAGGGCCGTATAATGAAGCACTTAGGTTTATTATCAGATGCAGCTGATGTTCTAGAGGAGGGTAGAAAGATCGACTTACAAGATAGATTTATTAACTGTAAGACTGCCAAATATTATTTAAGAGCCAATAATATAGAAAAGGCTGTTGAAGTTGCTTCCTTATTTACTAAGAATGATGACGCTGTAAATGGTGTGAAGGACTTACACTTGGTAGAAGCTTCATGGTTTATTATTGAACAGGCAGAAGCTTATAACAGGTTACATATTGATTCAAAGAAGAAATTATCCGAACTAAGAGCGTCATTGGAAGCTGCGACCGATGAAGAGGTTTCAGAAACTGATTCTTCTAAATCAGAATTAAAAGAATTGGAATGGCAAACCGAAAAGTATAGAGGTTTAGCTTTAAAGAGATTTGTTGCTATTTCTAAATTCTATAAACAATTTGAAGATGATCAATTAGATTTCCACTCATACTGTATGAGAAAGGGTACACCAAGGGCGTATTTGGAAATGCTAGATTGGGGTAAAACTATTTACACTAAACCAATATATGTTCGTGCTATGAATGGTGCCTCTAAGATTAATTTTGAAATTTTCGATGAACACGAAGAATTGAAACTAAAGGAAGATGAAAATGAATCTGGTGAGATCAAGAAAAAGAACAAAAAATCTAAGAAACAATCTGCAAGCATGAATAAACGCAAAGAAGAAGAAAAAAAGATTGTTATGGCTTACCCAGCTAATCAGGATGATGATGTGTTTGGGGAGAAGTTAATTCAATCAAAAACTCAAATTGAAGATTTTATGGAAACCTTCTACAACAGCTATTCTAAACAAGTAAGCGAAGAAGATAAAGATCATGTATTAGAATTTGAAGTTCAATATAGAATGGGAAAATTAGCTCTATGTTTAGGTGCCTTGTCTAAATACTCTAAAATCCATGGGACTAAAGCCGGATTGACTGGTAGTATGGCAATCGTTTTAGCATTGAGCACAAGAGATTCAACAAAATTTGAAACAATAGCAAAAAAAGTTGCCACTAAAGGTTTAGAAACAGATTTCTCAGTGTTACCATTATCTGAGGTAAATAATGAAGAATACGATTGGGTAACATTTTTCAAAGACAATTATAACTGTGAAGAATTAAAAGCTTTACTTTTCTTGAAGCATTATAAAGTTGGACAATCTGATATGATAAAAGAACTAATCTTACAAAGATTATCTAACTGTGAGCCATATCTACAAAGTGAAATTCTGCAATATGAATTATGAATTATGAGTTACGAATAATTCAGATTATATAATATATCTTTTATATTTGTATGTATTGCTAACATTGAAAACAATGTGTAAAGGAATTTTTAAAAGAATGATATTCTTCCAGAACGTTCAAAGATGATCTGAAACTGAGTTACAGAATTTTCCATGTGTAGGAAGCTTCCTAGGATTATCAAACAGTTCAACCAGTATTCTTTTAATAGTTTTTTTGCCTTTTCTACTTTTTTCAGTAGTCTTTTATATTAACTTTAACGTTACTATGCGGAGAATTAACTGAGATATATAAAAATAAAAAGTATTGGAAAAAGTATAATTAAACTTAATTTTACAATTGAATTAAGATTCTGAAGAGGTGATTCATTGGATTAGAAAAAGGAAGAGATCAAGACATGACATCGGTGCCTAATTCTATTACATCTTCGGTTACATCTACTGCAAGTAACCAAGTATCAGCTTCTGTTGATCGTATGCGGAGGGATAACATCAATGAAAGAATCCAAGAATTGTTAACGTTAATACCAGTAGATTTTTTCCAAGAATACTATAGGAACACATCGAGCAATGACTCGTCATCCAATTTAAATGAAGGTACCAGTGGATCGAACACACCTAAACTAAAAGGTACAGGTACAAAAGATGGTAAACCTAATAAGGGTCAAATTCTTACACAAGCAGTTGAGTATGTGTCATATTTGCAAAATCAAATTGATACGAAGAACAGAGAAGAGGTCGATCTAATAGCCAAGATCCAAGAACTTAGTAAGAAGAAAGGCCATATAGTGAATGACATCAATTTAGATCATACAAGTGCAGAAGAGATGTTGGCTAAAATAGGTGTGGGTCCATTGAGTGAGCAATATGAATCGAATGAGGCTAGTTCAACCCCACAACAAATAGGACAGCAA